CGTTTGAAGGCCATTATTCGTGCCAAAGGTAACCAATTCGAACAAATCTAAACTCATTCTAATATTTGATGCTATTTCCGACGTTTTTTGATTTCTTTCAATAAAATTTAAAAAAAAAAAATGTAAAAATTATGCCGTTTGACTTTGTTGCAGTTTTTTATCTCACCCTGTATACTTTGTTATGTCTAGAATTATTACTTCGATGACTTGCAAACGTAATGACGAACTTAATATACCCTCCATACTATGTATGGTGGAGGGTATAAAAAGGATTGAAAAATTTACTAAAAATGTTTAAACTTCTAAATAAATAAATGTTAATTATTTTTAATGATATGCCTTCAAATCTCTTACAAACGTGCTCTGCTGTCTTAAAACTATTTCCGTAAAAGCACATCTGAAATATATCAATTGATTTCCTTTCATTTTTTTTATTTTACCAAATATGAACAAAAACAATTTCTTAAGAAAACAGTTATTATTTGTCTGTTTGTTTTTTTTTTATAAAAAAATACTATTCTGCAACCATATTTGTATTTACGTTGCTTTTTTCAACTAAATTTTACCCCACACCTCATCAGCCACTGAAATAGACAATTTTCCAAAACCGGTAAAATATTGAATTTTCCATTGGCGTCACAAAGTCTCCGAGCAGACTGGCTACCCATTTTTTCCACAATTCAACCAGTTAATTAAGAGTTTTTGTTTTTGTATTGACTAGGAAAGCAAATTAAACAAAAACACTACTAATCTATGATTAATTAATTAAACTTTTCAAAAAGTTTGCCACTATTTCAACGAAATAAAATGCAGCCATATATGGTGTGGATTTTTTCAATGCATTGTCTGACCAGAGTATGTGGTTTAATAGCCAAAATCATTTGGCTGTTGTTGTTGCTGCTGCCTCGGCTAATGTACCGCCAAAAAAAGATTTTGTTTTATTTTTTGCATTCACGACTGAATGCCTTTGAATTAGAGGCAAATACAAAATCAAGCGCCAAAAAATTACAAACAATTTACAAATTTGGTCAAATCTTTAATACGCTCAACACTAACAGCAAGCAACACACACACATACATGAAAGCTTTGTGGGGACTCCAACCCCATAGACTTGAGGCAAAAAAATGGAGTGTTGTTGATTTTTCGGATATGGTATCGTTGCTGGCTTTTAATCAAAATAAACCCAAAAAAATGAAAAAACACACAACAACAATTCAATTTTAATCCACTTTTTTTTTTTTTTTTCAAAAGACCCGCTCAGTATTAGAGTGATTTGCCATATGAATATCCCATAAAGAGGTTTTTCTCTATGTCTGGTCTGGTTGTTTTACCACCACATGGATACTCGTTTGTTTGTTGAATGGATGGCTAGTTGCCCAAAAGATGAATGAATCAATGGCTGAATGAATGTTGTTGGCGTTGCTGTTTTTTTTTTCTATAGCCGTCTTTAACAATTCATTTAAATATTTTGCTCTAATTTGGATGTGTTTTGTTATTGTTGTTGTTTGCTTTTTGTTATTAACGGCAAATATTCAAACTGGTTTTTTTCAAATATATACCATACCATCTGTTAGCTATCGATGTTTAAAAGCGGTGTGCTTTTCAAGCTGTCATAATTTCATACCAGTTCAAGTTATTAACAACAGGTCGTTTGAAGAGGGTGTACAAATCGGAAATTGTGACTAATTGCCGACATGTGTAATTAAAAAATCTGTTGGGAGAATAGTGCGGGAATGTGGTAATACCTTCTATGACTAATTTTATACCTATGTGATGAATATTTCTAAATGGTACCTTTATATAATGCTTCGTAAGTATTATCATAGAAGTAGCATTCGAGACTCCATTTGGAACAGAAAAAACATTGGAAGCTTTGCGATGATTGGAAGTCTATTGGAAGTTTTACGTAAATTTAGGATTCTTTTTCCATCATATGTTATTGTCTATTAGGTTAAAATTCGGTAAAAGAACTTGCGGTTGCATTAGGGTAACCGCTCTACTCGGAGACCTGATGGTCCATTGTGTTCATCCTAAATTAAACAAGTAAAAAACCACCATTTGGAACGAATTTGGCAATTTTCAAATATGTAAAATAAAATACGTTAAAATTCTGTTCAAATCTTAAAAATACCGAATGTAGCCGTTATATTAGGGTCTTTACGACGACGTGGACCTGCATAGGTAACTTTTGTCATGAGGCATAACAATACTCATATACGACCTGCAAAAACAGTTTTCTGTTCTTGGGCTGTAGTATCCATTACAAACTTCAAATTCCAAATTTGAAACAATTCCGATGAATAATGTCGCTAACATCATCAAAATACCGAATATCGGGAGGGACCCTTATAATGGGGGCTGTACGAAGACGTGGACCTGCATAGACAATTTTCTGTCATAGGCGGTAGTATCCATTACGAACTTCCAATACCAAATTTGAAACAATTTCGGTGAATATTGTCGCTATAATCATAAAAATACCGAAAATAGGAAAGTACCATTATATGAGGGCTATACGAAGACGTGGATCTCCACAGACAACTTTCTGTCATAGGCTGTAGTATCCATCAAAATCTTCAAATACCAAATTTGAAAATAATTCCATTGAATAATGTCGCTAAAATCAACAAAATACCGAATATCGGGAGGTACTGTTATATGTGGGTTATACGAAGATGTGGAACTGCACAGATAATTTTCTGTCATAGGCTGTACCGAAAATAGGGAGGTACAATTATATGGGGGCTATACCAAAATGCCAAAATGTGAATGCCTTACAGAATCTTGGTGGTTTTTTAACCTGACTTATTTTTGAAGTTGGTCAAAGCTTGTAAGGCTCCTCGATTCTTATTCCAAGGAGTATCTTTACCCATCTACAACTAGACAGTATAAATTTTCGGCTGTTATAACGAAAAAAAGTCTAAAATATTTTAAATCTCTATATCATTCTTGCGACAACCCTTGTTCCTTTACCACTCCATACTTTTTCTGAAAAAAATAACCTAACTCATTCTTCACTTCAGTTCATACAGTATAAAAGTGTGGCAGGACCAAAAGCAATAACTGGAGTCTACCGTTTCATGGAGCCACCGCCATTTCAGGGGGCTGTGAATGTCTTGATTTCAAGCTAGTCAAAATATATAATACTTGTAGCGTATTCGACTATTCTTCCAAGGAGTGTTGTTTCTTATATTCCCCTTCTTTCCACTATTTTAAACAAGTTCTAACAGAATTGGTTGTTCTTTCGAATTTCCAGTTCTCATTGGCAAAATAGTTAGGGTCTTGGCAAATTTTAACATATCCCTCATATGATAGTATGCGACGCCGGAAGATTAAAGATATCCAAGTTGAGAATTCCAATTGTGTCAAGATAAATATTTCTTATGGGATCTACGTCAATTTAGAACTAGTTAGTAAATATTTTCGATTGTTAGATTGGAACAACAATTTTTGTTTTGCAGTTTGTCTTGTTTTTCTTTTTTAATTAACAGATTTTTGGTTTCTAGCTTTCCTCTTTCACTTGTTCTTTATATTCCTACTTTCAAGCATTAGAAACAAACTTACCACATAAGTCCTTTCCATTATGTTGAACATTTTGTAACAGAATTAGATGTTCTCTGTGATTTCCAGTTTTCACAGGGCAAAATAGTTAAGTTCTTGCTAATTTTTAACATATCCTTCACATGACGGTATACGGTGCCGGAAGACTAAAGGTATGCAAGTTTCGTTTGGAATTACAAGGCGAAATTCATTAATATGTGTAGCCGAAGAATAACTAAGATGGCTAAGAGTAGTACTGAAAATCTTTTTCTTTAGATCATAGTATTGAACATCCGTATGAGTTTTCTTTGTCACACCTTCAGCATTCACCTGTTGAACAATTATAACATTAACAATGCGAATAAAAAAATATCATTTTAATATTAACCTTTTTTGATAGCCAGAACGGTGGATTCCTTACTCGTGGGGAATTTCAATGAAAAGGAAATCATACAGCAGGGACTTCGACATTCAAACGTGACCTTATTTAAATATGGACGTTCAGAGGTATACCAAACAGAAGTTCACTTCTTATAAGGATCCGCCAAATATATTTTGAAAGTCGATTTAGTTTCGGCTTCGCCGTCCTATTGACACCAAATGTTGCTAATATCCTCCTTTTAAGTTTTTGTGAACAAATATCAGTTCAACATGGCCGTATAATGTAACGGCTGTTCCTTTATTATTTTCGAAGAAAATGGCCATTTGCCTTTGGGCCAAAATCCGAACAGTGTCTGGTTTTGGGTGCATATTTCATATTTCCAATAACATTTAAGTTTTCGATAAAGTGTCGTTGCAGTATTGGCGTCTTCAAACTTCCATATGACAAAACGCTTATTTCTGGGATGTCATTATCTGAACATTACCATCTCTGCTACTGCAGACTTAATTCCTTGCTTGATTTTTGCTAAGTTTTGATAAATTATAAGTTACACCACTATATGTAATAGATTGCACGAATTCTATTAATTTCTATTATAAGTTCATTTATTTATATTTTATTCCGTTTTTTAAGGATTCTGCTTTGCTTTTTGGCACAAAAGCTATTTTAGGAAATAAATTGCGCCATTTCCTGCTTGTCTTGTTTCAACTGTCAAATTGTCTTTTCTCAATTTTACTCTTACGTTACGTTCTCTCCCATAATCGGTTTTCTCACTTCTATGTCGTCTATTGTTAATGAATGCAACATAGCTCATATTTAAAAAAAACACTTTTTTTTTTCTTTTTAAGTTTGGATTTGTGAATTTTTACATACTTATTAAATTACGCTTCCTTCAAAAAATCAATTCTTGTTTAATTTTAAATTTAAAATTTTTAACTTGTTTATTGTTTACGCTACGTTTCCCCAATAATCAACCTCTCTCTCAATTGTGAATGACCCCTGAGCTAACAGCTGTTAAGACACATTGTGGTGACAAAATATCGATAGTTATTGCTGTTGTTTTTGCAATCGTTACTCTTATTTATCGACTGCTTACCATTTCTAGTGGAGGCCGGGGCACTGCAACATTTGGGTTGTAAAATTAAAAGAATTGAATGAAATTTTAACATAAAATGGCATTTAGCAGTCTTTTGGTGAAAACACAATTACCCCAAAGCCTACGGCAATCAACCCCATTGATATTGGCATGTCGTCAGGGACATACGGTACGTGGTAAGCCTGTCGGTGTAGCCAAAACATTGGAACAACGTTTGGCAGGTGAGAAATTGTTTTGTAATCACCCACAAGAGAATTGAATAAATAATTTTATGTTTAATTTTATTCAACACAGAGGAAAATAAACAGGATCCCGAGCTGACAGCTCGCGTTAATATTGGCTTGCCCAAATTGAAACAATCACGTTCTGAATTGTTCAAAGATCGTTGGGCTCACATTAAGGCACAACGTGCCAACACAGAATTGGAGAAGAAGACCAGGAGTCAGCAGTGTAAGTAAAAGCAACAAAAATTGAATGTGTTGTAATTTGGATATTCATTTTTTTAAATATCACTCTATTCAATTTCAGTACTCATTGACTTGAAACAAGTTGACCAGGATTATGGTCTGACAACTCGTGGTTTTGATTTGCGTGTTATTGCCGATCATTATGGCATTTTTGAAGATTTGTTTGGTGCTGCCTATTTTATACCCAGAGTCAATCTTAATATACAGGTAAATATAAAATTTAATTTTATTATATAAAAAAAAACTGTTAAAAAATTATTTTGAGTCCCGCTTAATAGATTAGCAGTATAACTAACATACCAGCAATAGGTAGTCTATTGATCAGAATAAACAGTTAAAAAACCAGAGAAACTGCGTGAACTTCCAACTTGTCGAATTTATCATGCCCTACCCCGCGAAGAGCACCACATCGATATTAGCTACAGACGAGGATAGATGATGATATACTACTGATTAAAGGAAGGAAAAAGAGATGATGATCCGATTTTGCTCCAACTTTGTAAATCTTAATATTTCCATTAATGCTACGCCAGGTGCGAAAATGGACAATATCGGTCCACTCCATCTAGTACCCCTCCCCCAAAGAGTCACAATTTTGCCTAATTATAACTCTTATAAAGTGTGATGTAAGACTCCAACTGTCTTCAAATTTCACATATCACAATATTTTTATTAACCCAAGGTCTGGTGTGAAGATGGGATATATCAGTCCACTCCTTCAAGTACCTCCCCCACAGAGGGTCTAAATTTTGAATATCCATGAACATTATTGAACGCGAAATTAACATCCAATACCACTCAGACTTTTCACATCTTCTATCGACACAAGATCTGTTATAAAGATGGACAAGATCGGACAATCTCTTCTGATACCTTCCCCACATAGGGTTTAAGATTTTGAAAAACAAAACGCCCAAAGAAAGCGAATTAAGCATCCAACCTTCTTCAAATTTCACACATACGATCTGTTGTGCAGATGATATATATCTGCGAACTCACAAAGGGCCACAATTTTCATTTTTTTTTATACCCTACACCACAAGGTGGTCAGGGTATTATGTCTTTGTGCATTTGTTTGTAACAGGCAAAAGGAAACGAGATAGACCCATAGTTCCTTTTGATGATCTGCATAGAATCACATTCTGAGTCGATTTATGCATGTCCGTCCGTCCGTCTGTCCGTCTGTCCATGTATTTTTGTAAACAAAGTACAGGTCGCATTTACTGCCCAGATGAAATTTTGCAAAGATCTTTTGTTTGGCCCAAGGACGAACCCTATTGAAATTGAAGATATTCGGTCAAAATTTAGATATAGCTCCCATATATATCTTCGTCCGATTTGTCTTTTATTGTGCACCAAACGTGTAATATCAGCCCGAATTTTATGGAATTTTGCATATGCACCCAAATTAGGCCTGAAAATATGTATGCCAAATTTGATCGAAATCGGTTCAGATTTGGATATAGCTCCCATATATAACTTCGTCCGATTTACCTTTTATTGTGCACCAAACGTCTAATATTTGTCCAAATGGGATGGAATTTGGCACTTACGACCGAATTGAGTCTAGAAGCTAGTATGTCAAATTTGGTGAAGATCGGCTCAGATATAGCTATAGCTTCCATATATATTATTCATCCGATTTGTTATATTTGTTACCCACAACCGTAATATGCACTCCGTAACAAAGATATTCAGGGAAAAATATCAAATACAGCTCAGAAATATCTTTGCCAAATTTTATCGATATCGGTTCAGATTTGGATATAGCTCCCATATATATCTTTATCCGATTTCAAATTAATTGTGCACCAAATGGGCAATACAATTCCGAATTTAAAAGATACAAATGCTTCGGCATATTTAGTCCTTTGAACTTTTAATTATAATTATAATCATAGCGTGTATGATTGAATTCTCCCATAAAAACTTTTAATTGTTATGTGGAGCTCTACTTAATTAGCAAAGTGGTGTAGGGTATCATAAAGTCGGCCCCGCCCGACTTTAAGACTTTCTTTACTGGTTATCTGTCATAACTTGCGATACAAGTCAGCGATTCTTTACAATTTGCTACATCTAAATATTTCTCTCCAATATAGTCTAAACCTGACATGTCGCAATATTTATATCACATTTGTTTATTGGCAACAATTTGAATAATCATAGGAGAAGTCAAAATATATTTAAATAATCGAACATTGGCTGAGGGTATACATCTGTAGGCAAAACCGACTGATATTTTTTAACTTGTCAAATAACACAAATATATTTTCCCGTTTTAGTATGAAGCTGATGCCGAAACCCTGGTACCAGTTTACAATGGCAACGTCATTAAACCGAAGGAGGCAAGGAATCAACCTTTGGTAAGCTTTGATGGTACCACAGATCCCATTACAGGAAAACCACAAAAAGAAGATTCCTATTGGACTCTGGTTGCCACAAATCCTGATGGCCACTTCAATGAAGGTGATAAGGAATATGTACATTGGTTTGTGTAAGTTAATAAACACATTTTGTTAGAGTAAATAACTCATTATTTTCAATTTTTCTATCTTAAAGATCCAACATTCCTAATGGTGATGTACAAAAGGGTGATGTGATTGTTAATTATTTGCCACCATTCCCACCCAAAGGCATTGGCTATCAACGTTTCGTATTCATTTTGTATAAACAAAATAAGAAACTAGATTTTAGTTCCTTGAAATTGGCCGAGGCTGACTATGCGAACTTGGATAAACGTACATTCAAGACCTATGATTTCTATCGTCAATATCAAGATGAGATAACGCCAGCTGGTTTGGCTTTCTATCAAACGGATTATGATAAATCGCTGACGAAATTCTATCATGATGTGTTGAGTAAGTTTTTGGTTACTTTTAAAAATTAAATTTAAAATTTATGTATTTTCCAGACCTAAAGGAACCCATTTTCGAATACGATTTCCCCGAACCCTATCTGGCTGACCAGAAATTCTTCCCCCTGCGCCAGGCCTTTAATTTGTACATGGATCGTCATCGTGACATCAAACAAGTGAACAAAGAATATTTGGAGCAAAAATTGGCCAAAACACATCCATTCAATGGCCCAGAGCCCGAGTTACGTTATCCTAACGCCCATCCCATTAAGAATAAACCATCATGGTTACGTACCGAAATCAGAAAGCAACGTTTGCGCATGGGCCGCATTAATGATTATGTGAATTAAATTGTTGGTTACTTTATTTATAATTTGTTGTGCTTTGATATTCAAGGGATGGAATAAACAAATGTAATTTCGAAAGCTGCGAATATGGAGAATAGGAGGCAAGACGTTTATTTAACTTAGCCGGAAATTTTGAGAATTGTATGTCATACTTACACATAGCTACATTCAATCTAAATTTAGCGTGATGTAGGGTGAATGTACCACCTTAATACTAAAATGACATTTTAACAAGTTCATTTTGACAGTCTCGTTGAATAAGCAGTTTCTGGATCACTTATCTGCAAATGTTACTTAGATTAAATATCATCAAATTGGTACTTTGGTTTTGCCGACAGATGTATACCCTCAGCCAATCTTCGAGTATTTAAAAATATATATTGACTTATGTTATGATTATTTAAATTGTTGATCCTTTATGGAGTCAGTTCCAAAAGAATGGACCAATATTATCCATTGCGTATCAGATCTAAATAAGTATGATAGAAATATTACGAGGTGCCAGATTTTGACTATACAGACTTCACTTTATATGTGATGTGTGATACTTTTTAGAAAATGTTAATATGTGCATAAGGTACCAGATATAGTCCACCGAAGGATTCAATTTTCACACATCATTTAATACAGATAACAAATATCGGAATGGGCAAAATTTCAAGAAAATCTAATATTTATATACGATTTTATGCGAAATCATAGATTACACATTCTTCTAAGGTTTCTGGTTGAGAGAAATTCGTAGATATAGCAAGTTGTGAAGAATCGCCGACTTGTTTTACAAGTTACAAAAAAAAATTGTCACCTTTCATTAGTGAGGTACCAGAAGGTGTTCGCAGATATATATCATCTTCACAACAGATATTGTGTTTGCAAAAATGTTTGTATGTGTGAAATTTAAAGAGAGTTGGATGCGTATTATCGCTTTCCTTGAGCGTTTTGTTTTTAAAAATCTTGAACCCAATGTTGGGGAGGTAGCAGAGGAAATGGTCCGATCGTTACCATTTTTATAACAGATCGTGTGTTGATGGAAATATTGAGATGTAACAACACTGAATGGAATCGGATGTTCATTTCGCGTTTTATGAACTTCATGGATATTCAAAATTTGACTCTTTGTGGGGGAGGTACCAGAAGAAGTTGACCGATATATTCCATCTTCACACCATACAAATATTGCGATGTGTGTAATTTTAAGAGAACCGGAGGCTTATTTCGGATTTTATGGTCGTTTTGTTTATTCAAAAATTTGACCTTTTGTGGGGAGGTATCAGAAGGAATGGTCCGATCTCTACCATCTTTATAACAGAACTTGTGGTGAAAGAAATATTGAAATGTGCCAAGTCGGAATGGAATCGGATGCTAATTTCTTGTTTTTTGAGCTTCATGAATATTCAAAATTTTGAGCGTTTGTGAGGGAGGTACCAAAAGGTATCCCATCTTCACACCAGACCCTGGGTTAATGCAAATTTTGTGATGATGAAGACAATTGGGCTGTTACATCACATTTCAATAGAGTTATAATTATTTAAAATGTTGACCCTTTGTGGGTACTTGATGGAATGGACCGACATTGTCCATTTTCACACCTAACCTAGCACTGATGCAAATATTAGGATTTGCCAAGTTGCAGCAAAATCGGATTATCCTTTCTCTCTCTGTGCAGTAAAATATGTTCTTTGAAAAAGTTGGCATTTTGTGGGGGAGGTACCAGAAGGAGTGGACCGATATTGCCTATTTCCGAACTCGATTTAAGTTTAACAATAATATTACAATGTACCCAGTTCGGACCAATTCGGATACTTCCTTCGAGAGCTACCGTGCGCACCAGCTATCCAGCTAGAAAAACGGACGGACATCGCTAGATCAACTCCAAATATCCTGAAACGGATTTGGTCCCAAGAGACCTAGGGTCTAAAACCGTTATTTCGTATCAAGTTATACGTAGCCTCTCTAGTCATATGGCTGAAGGCATAAAAATCGGAATAGGCTCACTTAGTTGTTGCTGTAACAGCTAAAATGTTTTTTTGTTAATTTCTGCCTATCCGGTTCTAACTCCAGGTTCAAAAATTCGGCTACTTTCGTTAGCTGTAACCAAAGATCTTCTGGAGTGTGTGGGTTATGGGTGGTTTCCAATGTTGCAACACTTCAAATAGTTTAGCCACTTTTTCCTTTTAGAAGTAGTCTGTAGCAACAGACCGAAAGCTTAAATTACTGTTCCATAACCTCTATTTATCGCGAGATTTTACTTCCAATTGAAGAGGAATTTTCCTTATTTATTGGCCTAACGATCCCTTTGATTATGAAGGCTATACGTTACCTAAAGTCGAACCAAACTTCCTTTCTTCATTTTCCACTTCTTTTGGTCTTCTTCGCCTATTCTTTTAGTTTTTAATAAAAACAACTTGAAATTACAATTTTCATTGGAATAATTTCCTGTTTTTTTTATTGAATTTTAAGGTTATGTATTAATGGGTTTGTTTTTAAAAACATTATTTTCGGTTTTAAATAAATATATATTTGGCACAACATTTGCACGATCCTTTAAAAAAAAGATCGAATACATTTTGTAAATGAAAAAATATTAACTGGAGTTTCAATAAATTAATTAAAAAAAATAAATAAAAGTAGTTAACAATAATAATAATTGAAATAAATAAATAAATTTATTATACAAAAGTAATTGAAACTAAAAAGTTTAACATTCGACGATAGGCATCTCTTACAAGGTATGAGGATTATTTGAGATAATCGTATTTTCTTTTCGTTGTTAAGATGACCCATCCTCCTTCTTCTCCTCATGTCGTCTTGAGAGTTATCACCCGTTTTGTAAACTGAAGTACATTATGATTGCTATTATATAGGTATTTGTAAGTATGTGTGTGTGTATGTGGTTTTGAAATCGTTTCACATGATTAAAGCGTAATTACTAATTATGCCATGTGAAGAGAAATGGGTGATTTGGATGTTATATTCAGACTTTCAATTAGTTTACTTTGGGAATTTGAATGTAAATAATAATTACTGAATTTTTCTGATACACTTTCGCATAAACATACAGAAACAGTTCCTTAACATAGGGCAAATTTTTTGTATTTGATATCGAAAAAATGTCGATTGAAATTAATGTCTGTATGCTCTTCTTAGATAAATCAAGTAAAAATAGTATCAGGCGGTTTTGCCGACATTTATTTATGCCCCCAGCCTTGAGTTATGATTATCCAAACTGTTGACCCTTTATGGGGGGAGGTTCCGTAGCAGTTGGCCAATATTGACCAATTCGTATCTGACCTAAGACTGATAATAGGAGTGGACCGATATATCCCATCTTCACAGCAGACCTTGGGTTAATAAAAAAATTATGATGTGTGTAATTTGAAGAGAACCGGATGCTTATTTTGGATTTTATGATCGTTTTGGTTAATCAAAACTTTGAACCTTTGAGGGGAAGGTACCAGAAGAAATGGTCCGATCTCTATCATCTTTATAACATATTTTGTGTTGATGAAAATATTGAGATGTGCCAAGTTTGAATGGGATCGCATTTTAATTTCTTGTTTTATGAGCTTCATGAATATTTAAAATGTTGTCCCTTTGTGGGGGAGGTATAAGAAGGAGTTGACCGATATATTCCATCTTCACACCAGCCCTTGGGTTAACAAAAATATTGTGATGTGTGAAATTTGAAGATAATCGGACACTATTATCACATTTTAGAATAGTTGTAATTATTTAAAAATTTTACCCTTTGTGGGAGAGGTACCAGAAGGAGTGGACCGATATATCGCAATTTCACACCAGACCTTGGGTTAATAAAAATTTTCTGATGTGTGTAATTTGAAGAGAATCGGATGCCTGTTTCGGATTTTATGATCGTTTTTTGTTATTCACAATTTTGACCCTTTGTGGGGGAGGTACCAGAAGGGGTGGACTGATATATCACAATTTCACACCAAACCTTCGGTTAATACAAATATTGTGATGTGTGTAATTTGAAGACAATCGGACAATTCAAAATGTTGACCCTTTGTGGAGGAGGTACTAGAAGGAATGGTCCAATCTCTACCATCTTTATCACAGATCTTAAGTTGGTGTAAACAGTGTGGTGTGTCTAGTCTGAATGGAATCTGATGCTAATTTCGTGTTTTATGCGCTTCATGAATATTCAAAATTTTGACCCTTGGTGGGGGAGCTACTCGATGAAGTGGACCAATATTGTCCATTTTTGCACGTGACCTAGCACTGATGCAAATTTTAGGATTTGCAAAGTTGGAGCAAAATCGAATTATACTTTCTCTTTCTGTGCGGTAAATTATTTCCTTTGAAAATATTGACTTTTTGTGACTGGTGGTCAATTCCAACATTTAAGTCGCTTTTAACTAAATCTTGGCATATTCAAATTCATTTCGATCGAACTTTTTCGATGTCGAATGAAAGAACTTGTCCCTTGTATTTGGAACTATGTTGGACACATGGACTATTTAATAACATTTAATGAATTAATTCCTTATCGAAAGTATAAAATTATAAAATTTCGAATTTCACCATTCTCTTCACATGGCCTTCTACTAAAATTCTAAAACTTATCGCGTTTTTTTCTTTTCTTTCTGTTAACAATAAATATTTCAATTTCATTTCCTTTTTTTCGAAATTCCCCTTCATAATCTCACTGTTTCTTTTACGTTTCAGCCTTACCATATGCCCCCACCGGTGGCCTGTACATAACCGGTAGACTTAATACTTGTGGCAAATTGAATGCATATTTACGCTTATCGATACTCTTGAATACGTTGTCCATGCGACAGCCTTCGCTACGCATTGTATTCAAAATTTGTGGTACATTTTTGGCTGGCAATTGGAATTCCTGCACCAGGACACGACATTGTTCCAGAGTAACAGCCATTCCGGTTCGATCTTTGGCACTTTTACATGAGGTAAATCTCAGACCAGACATAAGACGACAGACGTCCTCTACCAAATGTAAGATTTTAACATTTTTCGATACGTTCGCCTTGAGTTGATCCTCGAGGAAATTTAAAATATTCGCCAGTATTTGTGGTGCTGGCATATGGGGTTCATGTTTGCTGGGTGTTTCCGGCAGGGTTAGGGGTAATTTACGAAAACGTGTATAGTATTGTTTGAGCCGTACATAATTATCCCAATTTGAACGATGTTGTTCCCGCGTTCGATTCATTGCTTCGGCCAGGGTGGCTTTTTCATTGATGCCGATGTTAAAGAATACGGGAGTTACTTTGAAATTTACCGTTTGTTTGGTGGGTAACAGGGCGTAGACATGTTCCGGTACTGGAAGATAAACGGTAAGGGATTGCCGTGAACCCGTTATGCGAGGTGTGGGTGTTGAATCATTGCTGAAAAGACAGAAGAAGAGGGGAGAAATTAGTCCATAAGCCATGAAAAGAGACAATGCGCTGCATCACCAAATGTTCTTCGCATTTTCTCTTTCTGCGAGACAAAAATTACAGGAAAAACTAAAAGTTTATGAAAATAGAGCTAAAAATATGAGACACGTGTATGGGCGTTTTGAATATATACATCGGGATGTATCCAAAATGGGGTAGAGACCATATTTGAAACAATTCCAGTGAATGGGGGCTATGCGAAGACCTGGACCTGCACAGACAATTTTCTGTCATAGGCTGTAGTATCCATTACGAACTTCAAATACCAAATTTGAAACCATTCCGGCAAATAATTTAGCTTAAATCATCAAAATACCGAATATCGGGAGATGTCGTTATATGAGGGCTATGTGAAGTTGTGGACCTTCACAGACAATTTTCTGTCATAGGCTGTAGTATCTATTACGAACTTCAAATACCAAATTTGAATCCATTCCGGCAAATAATTCAGCTTAAATCATCAAAATACCGAATATCGGGAGATGCCGTTATATGAGGGCTATACGAAGACGTGGACCTGCACTGACAACTTTCTGTCTCAGGCTGTAGTATCTATTACGAACTTCAAACACCAAATTTGAACTAATTCCGGTGAATATTGTCCCTAAAATTATCAAAATAACGAATATCGGGAGGTGGCGTTATATGGGGGCTATACGAAGGCGTAGACCTGAACGGACAATTTTCTGTTATAGGCTGTAGTCTCCATTACGAACTTCAAATACCAATTTTGAAACAATTCCGGTGAATAATGTCGCTAAAATCATCAAAATACCGAATATCTGGAGGTACCATTATATGGAGGCTATACGAAGACGTGGACCTTCACAGACAATTTTCTGTGATAGACTGTAGTATCCATTACGAACTTCAAATATCAAATTTGAAATAATTCCGGCGAATAATTTAGCTAAAATCATCAAAATTTGGAATATCGGGAGGTACCATTATATGGAGGCTATACCAAACCGTGGACCTACATGACCCATTTTTAATACCAAAAGTCCTGCAGACATATTATGCATTTAAGTAAAATTTTATCAACCTACTTCATTTCGTTCGGAAGCTAGAGTGATTTCCACAGACGGACGGACGGAAATCGCTAAATCGACATAGAATTTTATGCTGATCAGGAACATATATACTTTGTGGGGTCTTAAAGGTATATTTCGGAATGACAAACTTAATATACCTTCCATACTATAGTGGAGGGTATAAAAACTTACCCATTGCACCGCACCAGCTCAAAATCAACACCCAACAGATCTTCAATGGCAATACACATATCGCCCCACATATCAATTTCACTGCCATGCAACGAGAGTAGACCCTCAAAATAGGCCAGTGGACCCAGATCACATAGGATGCGTATGAAATTATCGGTTATCTCATTGCCCCACAATTTGCCCATCAGGGCAGTTATCAATGACGTCAGTGATTGCGAGAAACAGACATCACGACGATACATTGTTTCCAGATTTATGCTAATCCTTTGCATATCCTGTTGTAGACGTTGTACCGAATGCATTAGACGGGCCGTCTTCAATAGGCCATCCATGGCATGGCGTAACTTACGCATAGAGGGACGTAATTCGGAGGCCCAATCGGTTGTTAGAGATAAGTCCAGACCTGAAATGTGGGAGATAAATGAAATTTGATGTCTTCATTTTAAAGGAGTTATGGTTACGAACCATCGGTAAATTTGTTTCCCTTTTTAACGGGTTGATTCTCCAGGCCAGCAGTTTGAGTTAAATCTAAATTCAAACCATTACTATTGCCATTGGGTGAGGTACCTTCAAGATTGGATTCTTGTTTCGTCTCATCTTGCGTGCCATATTCCAGAGCTGGAGAATTACCATTATCCACAACATCAGGCACGGGGTTGTTATTAAAGCCCGAACGTTTCATTGAACCCTTGGCATGTCGTAACCGTATGGCCGGTGAACCACAGCGTCCACACAGAAATTTAATTTTACTAACCAAACACATGACACTGGCCTCAATATTTAGTTGTGTCAGATCCAATGGCTCCGGTTCCTCTGTGGGCCTGTAATAATTGGCCGAGGGTGAGGTACTCATCATTTTCGTATCCAAAAATCTGGCATTGTGCGTTGCTAAAATGGAACAATGTGATGATGATTCATAATCATGACTGAAATTAGGCGGCATGGAATTGCGATTGGAAGTAGTCCGTATTGGTCTCGAGGATGTGGTTGGTATATCCGACAACTGACTAGTGGAATTATTTTCATCTAAATCTATTAGTTTTATGGAAGTATTCATTTGTTCTTCATCGTTATCATCTTCAATTTGGCCCTCCTCTTCCTCGTGGAGTTCATTGAAATTGGGTTCATGGTATTTGGTTTGGGAATTTATGTAGACTGGCAGAGATTGATAGGTTGCCTCTTCATCATCGAGGTCTTCGATGGGTTTTTGCATACGATTAGCAATCTCTTGTTTTGCCTTCCGCTGCAAATGTTCATTGTAGGCCCTTACCGTGTGCTGGAGATTGTGTATGGCATCAATGTCGAGATTTAGTGATGGTGATGTTCTCAATTGTGTCAAACTATTGGAACGTATCAAACGATTGCCCCCATAATGAGCTGTGGGAGTTTTTGCCCTGGGCCATAAATCTGGTGGGGCTACCACAGGTGTAGAGAAATCTTCCAATTCAGGAGATTTTAATTCCAAATCATTCAACTGTTGAGTGATTTTGCGGAATGGTGACATTGGCTGAAAAGGAAATGAATTTGAAATTAAAACAAATTTAATTTTGGGTATGTGTGTTAGGGATCTTACCATGAGGACATTATCTGGCTCCTCAATGATCCTGTGTTGTTCTATAAACGAAAATGCCTCCTCCACAAGACTAGGTTCCCAAATATTCAGCAAGGTCTTGGTTTTAGTTATCATTTCATTGCACAAGGGCATCATACCTTTGGGATTCTTAGACTTGGCCAATGTCAAGAGTTGTGACATGATTTCAACAATTTCCTTGCGCAAATGTTTTATCGCCTGAACTGCATCATTGGCTGCCAAAACTTTGCAATTGTTGCTGGCTTCAAATTTCGAAGGAGATTCTTTGGTGTCTTGCAAAAGTCTGTAAGAAAAAAAAATGATATTGGGGTATAAATCAAACCTATATAAACTGGGATTTCGGGAATATATTTCAACTTTTTCGACTTTAAATATATTGGCATAATAATACCAGATAGGAAGGGATCTGAACCTTTAAATATATTTTTCTCGAAATGTTATTCCACGAAAAAAAAAATTTGGCTAGAGCCCTTACTTTATTAAACCGCCAGTCCTTTTCTTTAGACCCGCATGCCGGGTAAATGCCCCCACGGTGACAATATCCAAAACCGCCGAACGATTTAGAGAGTCATTTTGTACCCACATACGTTGGAAATGTAAATTTACTGGTATAAACTCCAACGATTCATCTGTTTTGTCCGATGAACGTTTGAAAAATGGACCTAAAATCAAAAAAGGTTTTTAAAACCCTAACCTCAAATGAGAAAAACATTTTTGATCATTACCCTCCTCCTTTGTTAATTGTTGTAGATTTTGTTTGGCCTGTGAATAGTCTTTAAGCAATTTCAAATGTTTATCGAGTAGATCCATTTGGCGTCGTCGCCATTCACCACCCAATTCACCCATGCCCGATATTTCTTGTAGCAACTCCTTTTCACGTAATATCCAAATGGATCTGGAAGGAGATATGAAATAAAAAAAATGTTAGCAAAAGCATGCGAGGGGCGATTTACAACTTACAACAACTGCTGTGGTATATTAAAACACAATTTTGACTCCATCATTGTTTCATGGACGCTTATGTCAGCTCCTAAACTGGAATTCAAACGATAAGTGTGGATCTGGAAAAATTAGAGATAAAACATGTTAGAGAGGGGAGAAACAGAGAAAGATATTGAAAAAGACTACTTTTTTAAATTGATTGGGAGAGGGGCAGTAAGCATCGAAAACATAACCTAAATAATATAAAGACATAGGAAAGCCACCCGGTGGGAAAAATAAAATGTCCCACTGGTCGTCCCGCACCAGTTTTGAATACGAGAGTACTCTCCTTAGTATCAGATATCTTCCCGCCGAAGAGTCATAAAAACCTTTTACCATGACTGATGTTGGAAATGTGATCCAAAGCGGGCCCGGGGGAATCTCAATGCAAACGTTAAAACAGCTGTAAATGCCGGGACTTGAATACCTGACAAGTACTCAACCTGTTGTTCCTGAAGCCTGGAAAATGCGTCGAATGGTCCCGCCTATGAAGCCAGTCGAGGATGTCAGCAAAGACGAATCATACAGATCGATGTCCCTTTTGTCGCCAGTAGTGAAGATTCTTGAGGCTTTATTCCTCCCTAGCATTAGAGGAAGCCATCCATCATCAAAGCGGATTCAGTACACAATATAGTACGTTTTGCGAAATGCTCCCTTAGACGGCATTGAGATCGTAACTTATGCGGATGCTTGCACGATGATGGTTCCCACCGTAGATGACATATGTGTAAGGCTGAACACTTATCGCAGCACTTGCAGCCTTCCTCCAGGCGATGAATATTAAATTATACGCCATTAAGTCAACGGCTACACTTTTGACTACATGAGAAATTTAATTTCAACCAGGGACTATCCCAAGATTCTAAGGATCACATTCGACATCATGTTTAATTCGTCAACGTAAGCCACAGGTATCTGCCATAAATTGAAGAGGAGGAACAAGTACAGCCGGCTAGTGCCTTTAGAACTTTGGATGCAGACAAGGAGACCTTATTGATCTCTTGTAACGCTATGGGCCGGTCTGTGGTGAGTTATGTGGTCCCAGTTTGATCAGCGTATACAAATGATACGCTGTGGAAAAATATCCACATTTGCAAGAATGCTGCCCTGAGAACTGCAAATGGGTGCCTCCTCACGACAGCATAACCCTATGCTTTCGTTGAAGTACCAGGCAAGAGCCTATAAATTAAGAAGCCTATCTAAGTACCATTCACGCTGTTGGCATTAGAAATTCATTGCAGCTAAAGAACGTCGGCTGCCTTGACAAACCAGGTTATTTTTGACTCCATTACGTTCAGGATGGTGCACTCACCTAATTTCGCATTGAGAACGAATTGTGATGATGTGCGAAAAATCTGCCCAACGTGCGATTCCCTTTAACAATTCCACAATATGATGCACCCTTTTAATTGCCCTGCTAAACTTTCCCGACTCACTCCACAAGCTCTTTGGTTATAGTCTGCGAAGGTAGCCGAATTTTTGAATTTTTTGAACCACCCTAGTATAGCTGTTGAAACAACAACACAAATCATTAAACTACCGAATATAGTTAGGTATAGTTCTCTGGGGGATATACATATAATTTTCTATCAGAGAAGATAGTGCCATTTGTCAACACCAAATACCAACATAAAAACAATTCCATTGAACAATATCGATAAAATCATCAAAATGCCGAATTTAGAAAGGTCCATTGCATGGGGCTATACGAATACGTGGACCGGTATCGGCAATAATAGGTGTAACCCATTACAAACTCCAAATACCAAATTTAAAAAGTGTGGCACAAATCATCAAAACACCAAATTTTCGGAGGTACATTCATATTGGGTCTATAACAAAACTTGGACCACCTCCGCGATAATTTTTCCTATATACTGGACACAATAAGGTAGCAATATTCGGTTTATAATTGTAAATAAAACATCTTTCATCTGTCGGTACAGATATATGGGAGCTGGACCAAAACGTGGACCTATATTCCAATTTTCAATGCCAAAAATTATACGGACCGAAAATACACTTGAGTGAAATTTTAGCACCATTCCGTTCGGAAGCTGTTATTGGGCATTGAGTTTCAAAATTCCCTGCATCTCCAGAAAGAGTCACACGGATAATTCTCTTCTATAAAAATTTAAACTATTAGCTCTTTATATTAATATTAAGAATAACCAACCTATATTCCATTTCAAATCTAAAGCTTGTTGCCTGTGTGTCACACCGATTTCCTTACATGTGTAGTTGCCCTTTGAAAAACACTTACCCTTGGATTTGCAAAGACCCTTTGTATGCTGCCTTGAAATGGTACAAACAATTTGACACCCAACTTGGGTGGTAGCGATTGTGTGCGGCGATGACCTTTGCTCTGTTGCTCGAATACCTGTGTCGTTGAACGTGGCGGTGGTTGCAACTGCTTGTCGGTGTCAGGGGCCCATGAGGCAATATTAATGAAACCACAATCACCATGTATCGAACGTAAGGGTAGGCGAAAACGTGTGGCATCCTATTACAACAGAAAATATATTAATTCTCAAAAGAAGGAAAGTTTTAAAAATTATTGTTTTATTATTACTTGTATGGCTCCCAAAACCACTTCCGCATAACCAATTGGCACTGAGGTCTGTGAAACCTTTTCACGGACATCGTATACGGTAAACCTGAGCGGAGTATCAGCCGTAAAACCATCGCTTTGTTTAAAAACTAAAGTGCACAGGAATTGAGGGTTTGCAGAATTTTCAATAATTTCGGTGCGTGCATAATCCTGCCATATGATGTCATCTCCGGATCGCAGTGTAGAGCATACAACACGAGGACATGGCAGACGGCCATTATCGGCACTGGGTAGATTATCACAGGATATGGCCGATTCACACAAAGGTATCTCGGAGAGATCTAGGCAAAAGAAGGGAGTAGAAAAACGGAAGAAGTAAGAAAATATTTAATTATTTGTTTTTTGAATTACCTCGAGATTTGTTTTTGTTGGTTAATAATAAAAAATCGTTAGGAATTTGTGTTAAATTATAAAAACTTAATAGTTTATTTTTAAATTCAATTTTTTTTATTTTGGTTTCTTAAAAATAAGTAAAAATAATTTTTATAAAATTTAAAAAAATAACAGAATTTCAGACTCCTGGATTTGGTTTTTTGGAAATCAATTTTAAAAATATCTTTTTACAACTCTTTCGCGTTTTTAGTACTCTATAATCAATACAAAATTTTACTGTAGTAAATAATTATAAATTAATACAACCAACTTATAGTCCCTGTTTTCTTTTTTTAATTACATATTTTTTTCATTGTAATTATAAACAACTTAAATTTATTTTGTACAAAGAAAATTAAGATGTGTTTTTCTTTTTTTTAAATCTGGTGGGAAAGAAACGATGGAAGGCAAATGAGGGTTTGGTGAGAAGGCTATTTACACACTTTGTTTTTAATAAATTTCAATAAAATGGGAAGTGTAAAACCAGCACCATATGGGTAGAAGGATAGTTAAAAACCTTCATTTTTATAAATTAAAAAGGTTTTTGTATAAAATAATAACATAATTTTTTATAAAATCTTATTTGGTTTTCCATAATTAAAGTATGTTGACATAAAACGACGAAAACGACATTTAAAATACATTTCCTTTTTTTTTAGTTCTTATACCCACACTATGTGTTGGGGTATTTTAAGTTTTCTGGACCAAAAATTATTTAACACCTCGAAATATTGGTTCCCCACATGGGAACCTACATATGGATCTTCTTATCTCGCCGAGCTGAGTCGATCTAGCTATATATATCCGTCCGTCCGCCTGTCCATGTTAATTTATAATCAAGCTACAGGTTGCAATTATGGCCCGATCCTCAGGAAATTTAAAATGTAGGTGGGGTTAGGGTCAGAACAGAAGCCTTGGATATGATCGTTAAAAGGGACCAAAAACAGAAAAAAATGAATTTTTCTGTTGCTCTAGAGGCCATAATTATAGACCAATCGACACGGAATTTTGCATGTAGTTGGAGTTTAGAGCTGGCAGAGGCCTACCAAATTGTCATCGGACAATATTTAGCGAGTAAAATAAAACATAACTTTTATGTAGAAAAATAAGAAAATTTTAACGAAACCACGAATATTTTTTAACCCGAAAAAATCACAAATACAATAAAAGGTCACTTCAGAACATTATAGTTATGCTGATTGTCAAGATGTCGGATATATAGGAAAATAGGTAGAATATATGTAAAAGAAATATATCTTTGTTAGTTTAGTTTTTACAATTCTCATCAATTCGTAATGGTCCCTTGCCAGAAAAGGGTAACATCCAAGAAAATCGCGTTAAAATAAGACAATAAAAAAGTGATAGATATCCTCAAGATGGGACAACAGTGTTCCTGGCTACTGTAGACAACATGAAGATGAAGAAGAAGTATAGACGATTGCACATTTAATTTGCTGATGACCTTTGCTATCCAACAAGACTATTTGGCAGGTGGGAGATAGAAACTCTTAGGCTCTTCTCTAACATAAACCCCATCATCATTGACAAAGGAATTTCCTTTCTTTCCATCTAGAAGAAAATAACAACCTCCCTTCTATCATTTAGTGGGCCTGATCTAAGAATCGTGACTGGTCACTGCAGTATTAGATATCTGACCTCAAGATGGGACAGTAACACTGTTTCCAGGCTATTGTAGACAAGATGAAAATTAAGAAGAAGTAGAGAATATTGTACATTTACATCGCAAATGACCTGTTATCCAACAAGAGACAAGAAGTTATTTGGCAGGTGGAAGATAAAAACTCTAACGTTCTTCTCAGACATAAATCCCATCATCATTTATCAGTTTGCTGAAGGCATTCCCTGTTTAGGCAGACCATTCCAGCTGGAATAAAGTGGCAACAATAAGCTATTATGTCTGGCACTTCGAATACGCTGAGGAGTTCCTAAGGCCATGTGGCCGGCAATCTAGAGCAGAAAAAACTCACTTCTATCACTTAGTAGGTCTGGCCTAAGAATTTTGGCAGACATACTACGATATTTGCTCTCAAGATGGGACAACAGTGTTCCCATATGTAAAGATGAAGCTTTGCATATGATCCATGTTATCCAACAAGAGAATAGGTTATTTGGCAGGTGGAAAATACTCTTACGTTCTTCTCAGACAAATATCCCATCATCATTTCTAAGTTCGCTAAAGGCATTCCCTGGCTAGACAGACCACCATGCTAACTATTCTGCTCTCAGTAAAACTTTTCCTCTCCTTCTCGCTTCTAAATTTCTACTATTCCCGAAAATGTTTATTTCTTTCTAGGACTAACACAAGTGAGACAATTTTCGAGTCAAACCAAAATAACTTTCAGGACTTCTGGAGTTATTCTACATGGAAGACTATATAGTATTCTATAGACCGAAGGCAATTTGGTCTAGAGAAAGAAATCTGTTTGTACGAAGAATTTGACACTTGGGCATCTGTGCGGTAATCTCGAGGAGAATAACAAGCTCCTTCTATCAATTGGTAGATCTGTAATGGGATTCTCTAATTAATTTTTAAGTTACCGACAAAAATCGATAAATTTAAAAAACAATTGTTTTTGACATAAAAAAGAAGTTAATGTTGTTAACATTGGTATCTATCGGTAGGTCTTAGCGACTACTTTGATTTCGTCGGTAACATAGTGATAAGTTTCCTTAATTACCGAAATTATAGGCATTTTAATTTTACCGGTAACTCAAAAAATGAGTTAGAAAATTCCACTACTGATCAAATCCGAATCCCGTGTAACTTCACATCCTTAAACCAAACAAAACCAAGATATCTTTCTGGACTTCTGGAGTTGTTGTATATAGAGGACCATACAGTATTCTATAGATATAAACCAATCCGACCTATACATAGATGCCAATTTGAACATTTACGGTTAGAATTCTTGTGGTCTTCTATATGCATACCCATCTTGATATCTATTGGGGGAATCACATTTGGCCTTCTAAGGACAAAGGTTTGTTTTTTAGCAGTTTATGACTAAGAGCTCATTGTTTCATATTGCGTCCACATTTGAAACATTTGTCTTCCTTATGCCATGTTTACGTTAGAACTTTTTGTAGGGTTAACCTACTTTGAGAGGATTTATTTGAAGTAAAAGTAATGGATATGACAATTTAAATCTAAATCCAGTGGGTTAACCCTCATATATATAAACGTACTATTAGTTAGAAATATTTCTGATCCCCTTGATCCTTCCATAAATAGAAGGCAGAGTTCTAACTAGCCTCCAATAGATAGAAGATCCTTAATCTTCCAGGCATGAACGGCTCTCTGGCCTTTTTATAGAGGAGAGAACTATCTGTGATATTGATATGATGATAATATGGCATCTGCTTTTGTTTACAAATGGAACCCATTTTAACAGAGAGAAGGCAATGTCAACACAAAAATTATTTTTTTGCCATGCCCGGGTAAAAAATATGTTCTTCAGCTTTTAATGACTCGGTTAATAATTTAATCGGTAAATATATAATGAAAAAGAAAATGAGTTATTCAAAAAGATGAAATATGTATGCCAGATGGTTCTACATTTTTGTGGTTTTTCTGTGTCAAGCCTGTTGGACAAATAATTTTTGTGTACAGCTCAAAATTAAAAAAAAAATCTCCAACACCAAAATCATTTCCTTCCACCGATACATAAATAAAAATAATAGAAAAAAATGGAACAAAAAAACAACACCAACTTAAAATTGTATAAGATCACCTTCTTCAACTTTTGTAACAGCCTTCGCATTTGATGTTGTATTTAAATCCAATAGACCAGCCATTAGAGTAGCATCACTGGCTGGGGCATAGAGGGGCAGACCCTTTTCTATGCGATTGCCCATGGCTAAGGCGATTTGTTCTTCCAAATATTGTATTTGGCGATTTAAATATGAATAGGAAGCTAATTGAATGCTTTTCACCCACTCCAAACGTTCCTGGGAGGTGCGTGTTGAAATGCGTTGCGGTAAACTGCCTTCAAATTCTAAAATTGAAAGAGAAACATTAAAATTTATTTCACTTTCTAGAGATATTGAATAGTTTTAAGCTTACCTAATATGAAAACATAACCATCAAATTCACGGGCTTCATTGCGTATAAATGGTCGACAGTTTTCCAGTACCAAAACACCGGCCGGCTGGGAATTTGGATCGTGATCCTTTAGATAAAACAAGAGATTGCCACGTAATTTGCACCAACGGGGATAGTTGACTGTAACAACAACAGATCATAAATCATTGGATTCCAGGAGAAAATTTCAAATTCTGTCTTCCAACTTACCATCAGCTTTGCGAAAGAAACCTTCTTGGCGTTCGGTGATAATCAATAAACCTTCTTTTTCAAATTTTGTTGCTGAATTTGAGACCAATGTTGCTAATTCGGCCTTATTGAAACGCATATTTTTGTGGTTTGTAACGCAATAATGATGACGCTGCTGCTCCGGCTGCTGTTCTCGTTGGTGCAAAATCTACCACTGCATATGGTGGAAACATGTAATCTCATCAATGGCAATGTTATCCAAAAGAAGATATAAAACAGAATAGTTGTCGATCACCAAAATGGATATTTCAAAACCACACACGTTGTTTGTCTGATCGCGAGAGAGAACAATAACAACTTGAATGAGTCTTTAAACGGGCGTGAATTGTAGAACGACAATTATGGAAAACTGTCAGTGGTTTTTATTGCCTGCTTTTCTGTTTTCAATGTGCAATGTTATTATCTGCAATTAAAAAGACAGAAAGAAAGAAAAAACAAAGAGATTAAGAATAATGTAAAAAGTGCAAGTGTTGGAGTGATCCGATAAAGGTAAATAAATAGAACAAGAGAAGAGCACTACTTTGAACACAAAGTAAATTGTTTTATATTTCTTAGATCACTTTCAAATTTTAGTATGGCAATATACAAGAACGTAAGATCTGTAGGAGAAGGTCTGGATATATTTTCGATGGCTAGAAAACCTTATATTCGAATAGGGGGTGAAACTGTACAGGGTGAGATGAAAAAAACTGCAGCTAACTTCAGGCTGCTGTCATTTCTAAGTCACTCATCCGACAGTTGTTAAAATTATTCCAGTGACAGCTCATTATATTGTTTACAAGGGTACAAAAGCATTTTGGTGAGAATTTTCCAGAAAAAAAGTTATTCGTGATGGAATTGAAGCGTGATAGTGTGATTTCTTTATATTTGGCTGGAAAACCACAAGTGGCTATCGTTAGAGCACTCCAGCATTTAAATGTGAATAAATATTTTGTGTCTCGATCCATCGCTCGTTACAGGTAGCCTAACCCGACGTCCAGGGAGTGGATGGAAGAAAACAGCAACATCAGCGGAAATGATTCGAGAAGTAAAGAAGCGATTTGATCGAAACCCGCGTCGCAGTGGACGAGAAATGGCTCGTGAGCTGAACATATCGCAATATTCCATTCGGCAAATATTGAAAAATGAGCTCGGGATAAAGCCATTGAAATTCCAAAAAGTGCAAGAGCTTACACCTCAACCGAAAAAAATAGACTCAAAAGAGCTAAACAGTTGCTTCGCTTGGCCGAAATCTGTTGCAGTGGCCGAATTTGGTTTTCTCCAATGAGAAAACATTCGTTGTCCAGCAGTTTGCAGCAGATAACAAACAAAATGATCGTGTTTACTTGCCAAAAAGGTCAATTGAAAATGTGCACCTACGATTGGCCACCAAAACTCAAGCGCCGGCCATGGTGTTGGTGTGTTTGAGGACTTTTGTAATTGAAAATAGGCCATGTAGGTCCACGTTTTGGTGATTTAAGCGACATTATTCACCGGAAATGTTTCGAATTCGGTATTTAAAGTTCGTAATGGATACTACAGCCTACGACAGAAAATTGTCCGTGCAGGTACACGCCTTCGCATAGCCCCCATATAACGTCACCTCCCGATATTCGGAATTTTGATGATTTTAGCGACATTATTCACCGGAAGTGTTTTAAATTCGGTATTTGAAGTTCGAAATCAATACTACAGCCTATGACAGAAAATTGTCTGTGCAGGTCTACGTTTTGGTATAGCCCGATTAAGGAGAGAGTTGGGTGCTTTTTTCGCTTTCTTTGGGGGTTTTGTTTTTCAAAATCTTGAACTCTATGTGGAGGATGTAACAGAAGTTAATTCGGGGTTTTATGAGCTTGAAGGATATTCAAAATGTTGACCCTTTGTGGGCAAGGTACCAGAAGGAATGGTCCGATCTCTACCATATATTTAACATATCTTGTGTTTATGGAACAATTGAGATGTGCCATATCTGAATGAATCAGATGTTAATTTCGTGTTTTATGAGTTCCATGGATACTCAAAATTTTGACCCTTTGTGGGGGAGGTACCAGAAGGAGTGAACTGATATATCCCACCTTCATAGCAGATTTTGTATTAGTAGAAATAATGGGATGCGTGAAATATGAAGACAATCGGATGCTTATTTTGGAGTTTATAATCGCTTTGGTTATTACATATTTTGACCCTTTGTGGGGAGGTACCAGAAGGAGTTGACCATCTTCACACTAGACATTGGTTTACTAAGAATATTGTGATGAGTGTAATTTGAAGAAAATCGGACTCTTACGTCATATTTTATAAAAGTTATAATTATTCAAATTTTTGACCCTTTGTGGGGGAGGTACTTAATGGAGTGGACCAATATTGTCCATTTTCGCATCTGCACTAGCACTGATGTAAATATTAGGATTTGCAAAGTTAGAACAAAATAGGACTATCCTTTCTCTATATAATATTTTTTTTTGAAAAGAGACCTAGGGGTCTAAAATCGTTTGCAGTCAGGTCAAGTTCGAAGGTGGGGTATATCCGTCCACAATATCGTATATCCCCCATATAACGGTACCCCCCGATATTCGGTATTTTTCATTAAATTGTCTGTAATTCCACGAAAGGAGTTCCTTCTGAGTACTTTACCCCCTGTAAGAGAATTGTCTATATAGGTCCACGATGTCGTATATCCCCCATATAACGGTACCTTCCTATTTTCGGTATTTTGAGGATTTCAGCTGCATTATTCAATGAAATTTTCTAAAAATACTAGAAGTTCTTTCTAAGCAATTTACTCCCTGGAGGAAAAAATTCTGTATTGGTAGACGATATCGTATAGCCCACATACAACGATAACCTCTCTGCGATAATCGATATTTTGACGATTTTAAGGAAAATATTCACCAGAGTTGTTTCAAATTTCGTATTTAGAATTCGTAATAGATCCAACACCCTATGCAAGAGAATTGTCCATGCAGATCCAGGTCTTCGTATAGGCCCCATATATCAGTACCTCTCTATATTCCGTATTTTTACAATTTTAGGTACAAATATTCATCGAAATTGTTTGAAATTTGGTATTTAAAGTTTCTAATAGGCACTACAGCCTATAACAGAAAATTGTCTATGCAGGTCCAGGTTTTCGTATAGCTCCGATATAACGGTATTTACCATGTTGGTTCAGTGGGTGTTGTAGCTTCCAAAATAAAAGTAAAATAAACTGAAACTTGACATTTCATTTTAACAAGGGAAATTGATTGTTCCATATTCTTTGTTTAATTTTTCGGAAGAAAATGACCAATCACCGAATTTTTCGTAATATTTGTTTGATTCGGGTAAATATCTTTGATGGCTCGTGGAAGTGTAGTCATTTTGTTTCTCTGAAAGAAGTCCCATTGTAGATTTAGAATGAAAGCCCTCCTTCATTTCATAACACACTTATGTATGTACATAAATTACTCTTGAATTACCCTACTTCCATTAACAAAACACAGCAAACCCCCCAAGCCCTCCACAACACAACTTTGGACATTAAGTCAATTGTTTATGTTAAGACACAAGTTGCAGTTGGTTGGTTGTAAAGACGACAAGTGATGTTAATTCTTTTGCGATTTGATGTTACACTCGCTCACATATCAGTCGAGATATGTATTTGTTCTTCTAGGTTGCATTACATTTCATTCCCCTGCTAGAATCTTGATTGCCAGCGATGGAGGAGAACTGCATAAAGGCTGAAAGTGTTTTTTGGAGGCATTCTGGCGCATTCAGGCCTTACTTCTCTAGTCAAGAAATGATGTTTGGTGTTGTTTTGCAAAAAAAAAAAAAAAATAAATAAATAAATAAAAATCTTATAAATATTTATATAAACATTTGTATTTGTTCCATTATTCCGCAAACGAAGACAGACAATGTGATGGTGACTGCAATGGTGTGCTGGAAGTTTTTTTTGTGTGCTTTTTGCAAAGCGTGGGAAGTTCTCTTCAGAGTATTAATTTGGCATAGTTATATGAGTAGGATTGTTGAATAAGCACAAAATGTGTGTGTGTATCTGTACGTATGTATGTATGCATTTAATGTGTCAGTTTATAGTTTTGCATGATGTCGTACAAATCTGTGCATAATTGCGGTCTAAATAAATGCGTTGTGTGGTGCTAAATTATACAATTTCAGAAACACACAAACCCCTCTTGACATTGAAAATTCAAGTAGAAAATTATTTAAATTATGACAATTGAAATGGTGGAGGCGATGATGAAGGGGGTTAATCAAGTCTCGTAGTGGACAGATAATATCAACATAATAGGTCTGGTTGACAACTTCTTAATTTTAATAACAAAGAGAGAGAGAGCAAGAGGGAGAAGTAGTAAAGCAGAGAAAAATTAAAGGTATTTTCATTTATTTTAATTTTTATTAAATTTCAAAAATTTCCCTACAAATTTCAAATTTACAAAGAAATCGCTAAATAAAAATTTCCGATTTAGGATTTTTTCGAATTTTTTGAAAAGTTATCGCTCAATTTTCTCAGTTTCTTTTTAGTGGGGTTTAAATGTAGAGTTGGGGGTTTCAAACTTCTTCAATGTACAGGGTGAGATAAAAAAACTGCAACAAAGTCAAACACCATCATTTTTACGTCTTTTTTAAATTTTATTGAATGAAAGCAAAAAATATAGGAAATAGCATCAAATTTTAGAATAAGTTTAGATTTGTTCGAATTCGTCACCTTTGGTATGAATTATGGCCTTCAAACGGTCAATAAACCGTCACACGCTGCCCAAATGTTGCTCTACGGTATTTTGGCCCATTCCCGGCGAAGCGCTTGCTGCAGGTGATCGACACTTTGGCAGTTTTTAGTGCCAACCTTGCTTTCCAGTCTCAATAATCCAACGGATTGGTATTCGGAGATTTTGTTGGCCATTGTGCGCTGAAAATGAAGCGAGGAACCTCATTTTGTAACCATTCTTTGGTGGCGCGTGTTGAGTTGAGAGTCCTGTTGGAATGTCCAAGATCAGTGGCCAAAATGTTTGCGTGCCCAAGGCTTTAATACACCCTCCAGAATATTTTCGCGATAATATTCGGCATTTATGCTGATGCCACGGTCGCTTAATACGAGCGGAGAGTGACCATCGGCTTTTATGGCGGCCCACACCATCATCATGGCCAGCGCTTGAGTTCTGGTGGCCAACCGAAGGTGCACATTTTCAGCTGACCTCTTTGACAAGTAAATACGATCATTTTGTTTGTTTACAAACTGCTGGACAACAAATGTTTTCTCATCGGAGACGGAGAAAACCAAATTCGGCAGCTCACCACTTTCGGCCAAGCGAAGCAACTCTTAAGCTCTTCCATAACGAATAACTTTTTTTCTGAAAATTCTCACCAAAATGCATTGGTACGCTTCTAAACATTGCTGAGAGCTTTCACTGGAACAATTTTAAC